ATGAGACTGAAAATGTTATTTAGCTTTTTAATGCAAGATAGCGACAACACAGTTGATTAGAATTACTCAGGGGGAAAATGAGCTTTGATTTGCGTTGATTATCTCCCTTAGCATATGACGTCAGAAAGGCCCAGTCGCTGTTCAAAGCTATGTAATGTTTACAAACTGTCATGTCATTTTGCAGCTTAATTTTAAGAAATATCAACATCTTGACTGAAACCTTGCATAATAATTCGATCTTCAAACAGGTTGGTATTTTTTTTTTAAATTTCATCACATATTTGCAAGATTTTTAGCATGTTTTATCAGTCAGTGATTATTCTCATCGTTTGACACTTCGACCGATTGAGAGAAAGGATAAAAGCGATGGAAAGACGAGAGAGTCACTTTTATAAGTAATGCATTTATTTACGACACTGTTTTTATCATTAAGAGTCCAACCGGCAACGTGGTCAATGATTGAATTTTTCTGGACAATATAGACCTAGTGAATGCGCGACCTATATGATACAGTAGGTAGGGCCTATAGCTTTTATGTTTTTTTTAAATGTGGAGTTAAACATGACATTTTTACTGTGTTAATGTTTTATTCAATTAATTCAATTCTAATTATTTGACAGCGTTTTTTTTTTACATTTACTTATTCATGTACAGCTTTCTACCCAACCTCCTGTCTCTCACTCCCCCCCCCCCCCCCCCCCCGATTTTCGATTTCCATACTTTTTGTAAAAAAAAAAATACTCGAAATTTAACATTTTCCAAGATGGTTTTTAACAACTGGGACAAGAACTAAACAACTTAAACTTATAGTTTATGCGTTAGTTAGTACAAACGACTTTCAAAAAAAAAAAGTCGTAGCCTATGGAGAAAAAAAAATCAAGAAATGTATCATGGCTTCATTAAGTAAAAATACATCTATAAAATGTATGAAAATAAGGATTAAAGAAAAGATATCAAATTTCTACTGTAAGTTGATATATGTTAATCTTTTTTAAAACATCATTTTATTCTTTGTTGCATTTCGCGATTTTCCTGGATTTATACTGAAAAGGACATTTAATATTTTTTCTTCAAAAGACGATGAAATCCTCTTGATTTTGTATAAAATATGAAAAATGGTCTTAATTTGTTTCGGAAGTTTTGATTTATATAGAGTAAGTAATCATATTGGAGGGTAAAGCGGTAATTGTTATAGGATATTCATCTTCCGAAGAAAAGCGAAGTGTTCAGTTGCCGTTATTTATTAACGACTTGTTCAAACTGAAATGAAGGAACTACGAAATCATATAACTTATCTGAACACAGACACGCGTTTAAATTCACAAAAATAAAATATAATTAACTTGATAAAATAGAGTAGATTTACATTATGTCCAATGATCCGTTTGCATCAGTGGGCCTTTGTGACGTCATGAAACCACAAAATCAAGAACGATAAGCGGGTAAGAAAAGTAGTAAATGGAATACTTTTTATCTTTATTTTACAGCAGAACAAAGGCCAGAAAATATAAATACTCGTAATTTAACATTCTTTCATATGTAGCTTTGGGTTTAAAAAGTGAAATTATGGTGTTAGGAATTGTTTCCAATGACCTTTAAATCAATTTAGCTTATGTAGTGTCGCAATTAGATGATATGTTACTTCAGAATCGAGAATACATACAATGTCTCTTAGCAAAATCCATTAAAAAACATGGCCCTAATGAAAAGTAATGAACAGTGATCGGTCTTAAAATATCTTAAACAACTCCAGAAGTTGGATCAGATGCCTAGGAAAAGTAAGTATTCCCTATCGACCGGTCACACCCGACGTAAACCCTATGAGCTGATCAGATAGACGGTATATTCTATAGTCAAATTCAGTATAAAAACAAATGCCTACAATTGGATAAAAACAAGTCAGCCAACACACAACCCATTAAAACGAACATATGTTCAAGAAATGCTGTCATTATTAATTGAGGTTGTTGAAATCCATGTAACGTCAACTTATCTTTGAGTACCTTGTCTCTATTAAGAAACTAATAGTTCTCTACAGTTATACATGTAAGAATAGTGTTAGCTCTCGAATTACATGTACATAGATAATTATTTAACGCTGGATTTTATAATATCAATATGATGCAACTTAAAATTCCTAGGCCGAATCAAGTCGTCATTGTATTTATAAATCACAGGTTTCAATTCAGGCAATAATGGCATTTAACAGAGATCACCGTAAAGAAGTGTTCATCAGGAACATTTAGTGAATTTGTCAGAACTGGGTTCAATGTGGTCTATCGAGATGTAGACATTGTTTCTTTATGAACTTGTGAGAAATTTTTGAATTGAATGTCTAATGTATAAACTGAATTGTTTGATTCAAAATGCTCCTAAAATTAAACAATAATGAATACATTTAAAATAAGAGATTCTGACTGAACTTTTCTTAAAATCTGACGAGTTATATACCTATATGATATTTAACGGAAACTTTTGCTACTAAAGAGGAAATATGGATTCAAACACAAAGTCAATAAACGATGCAAAACGGGAGCAGAGCAAATACGGGCCTCCAAATACAACAGAGGTGTGATTTAAACAATAAAATGCTTTCTTTGATTGTTATTACTGGGATTAACGGAAGCAGCTGTTGTAGAAAAAAATTTACATAACCTGCGTAAGCGGGTTATGTAATTTTTTTTTCTGTAATAGCTGCGACCGTTAATTTCAGTAATAGCAAACAAAGAAAGACATTTTATTGTTTATATTTATATCTGTTAAATAATCATTTAAAGTAGGATTAAAGAGATTAATTATTGTGTTAATGATGCGAACGTCTTTATACGTTTCATTGATGGAACAGCCACTATTCAAGAAATCTGTACAGGCGACGTACATGCCTAATGTAGTTCATGCAGTGATTAACGCAATGGGTTTTCTTAAGAATAAAGGAGAAAATATTCAGTGGATGTAAATATTAGATGCCAATGTATGGAGGAGTGAGCATACCCTCTCAACCGGTCACACTCGTCGTGTGCTCCTTGTCATGATCGGTAAAAATGGAAAATTCTTAAGATTACTGAGTTTGTAAAAAAAAGGTTACAATTAGTATGAATTTTTGAAGGATAGATCAAGGATTGTTTTATATTAGCCGAAATAAATTGTCGTTGTATGTTGTGCTTCAGATAATTGATGAAAATAATAAAAGAAACAATTCTTTTAATCTTTGATCCAGGTATGAACAAGTTGATGAAGCAAGAATATCAACTGTTTTGTTTGAAGTCGTTATTTCGCAAGGTTAACTGTCGATACAATGACTTTTTCAGCAAATACAACTTATCATTAAGTCAAATGCCGACTGACTTCAAACACAATCACTATATGTTTGTATGTATAGAATGACAAAATTAGAAAGCAACCAATGTAAGAATTTAGTTTAGAGTGGAAACAACAATAAAAGGGTTTCTTTTTATCAAATTAGATACCATTTGAAAACACGTTCTTATTTTCTTATGACATATCTTTATTAATTTGACTATAAATTGTGGAGTTGTCGTCATGACCAGTTTTCTGTGGTTTTATGGAAGAACTTTCCTCAACGCCTAACATCTCAATATACACATTTTCTGTACTGTTTCTTTTACCTTCCTCTATTCGTGGTGATTCATATTCCAAAACAGTTAATCTAAATTTTTAAAACAAAAACAGAATAAATACTTTTTTAGTTATTCAGTTGAAAGGAAGTCACATATAGAACAAAGTGCAAATCATTTATGGGATTCAAAAAAGTTTTCTATTACCGAATAATTTATATAGATAAATGATTTTCCTGCACTTCATCTAGCATGCAGTAAGTCAAAAATTAACTTTAAAATGAATAAATCTCATTATTATATTTCAAGATGATAATGTGGATCAACTTATACATATGTATTAAATATAACAATAAGATGGTGTAACCACTCCGATATCTTATTACAACAAATACATGCATTTCATTAAATTTATTTTAACGTACTGCTGAGCTAAAGTGGCATGTTTATATATAAATATGAAATTATATTTCCTCTATGATATTGTATACAAGCCTTATCCTCGCACAAATAAGAGAAGTAACCACAACTAGGAGAAAAAGTAAAAAGTAAATAAGACAGATAGATGAAAAGAGTTCTAGTAATATGCAAATTTCTCACTGAATCTATTCATTATTTTTACAAACAATTGCAATAATTACATGTAAAATACTAGCATACCTATATAATTATATAGAATAAACTTCTTTAAAGAATAACTTTGAACCAAATGTTTAATTTGTCTTTTTTATCTTTTGTTTGTAAGAAAGTTTTTCAAAAATAAAGCATAAAAAATTGAGCGATTACAGACTATTTTATTTATGAGTTCAATTTACTTTAAAGTTTTTAAAGTTTTTAAGTATCATTAATTATCTTGTCAAAAATGTTAGATGTAAGAGAGTAAAGTGAAGTTTAAGCACTTGTTTATGTATTTGAAACACTTCTAACAACAGCAAAATTACAGCAAAAGTAAAATGCTATATCCTAAAGTATTTACACAATTTGAATTTTTCCCAATTTAAAGAATGTCAAGGAACACTTAACAGCACTTGAATTTTAGTAATTTCGAAAATGTATCACCGTTCACGGTAGCTCAGTCGGTAGAGCGCTCGCTCCGTGATCGGGAGGTCGTGAGTTCGTATCTCGGCCGCGACTGACCCAGTCGATAAAATGGGTAGCAACTGTTCCTTCGCCATGCGTTCGGCACTTTGAAGTGAAAGTTGCGGGTCCTTCGGATGAGACCTTAAAAACCGAGGCCCCGTGTCAGCGGCAGGCGTTGGCACGATAAAGATCCCTCACTGCTCAATGGCCTTGAGTGCCGAGTAAAGGTCAAAATTTGAAGCCCTTCACCGGCATACGGTGACGTCTCCATATGAGTGAAAAATTCTCGAGAGGGACGTTAAACAATATACAATCAATCAATCGAAAATGTATCTATCGACTAGCATATCTTGACTAAAATGTATACATTACCATGACTACAGAGTCCAGTAATGCTGTTACAATGAGGACAAAAACATTTTTTCCGGCATCCAAATCCGTACCAGCCGGAAGGACTAGGTCTTAGGCACTGTCTGCTGAATGACCCTATACATGCTATAATTAGAATCAAATACTATACATATGTAGGTTTTTTTTCCGTGGATCTCTCCCATTTAGTACAAAATTATGAGAATGAATTATTTTTCAATTCAAAATAATTTATAACTTCGCTTCCATCTAGTTGCAAACACAACCACACAGCTTTATATTAATATCGTACATACGTATGTATGAGAAGTTTTCTGTATCA